GTTTCTTTTTTTAACTTACTGCAGCACAAAAATCAATGTATTCTCAACAAAATCAAATATATTCGAGTTAGTTAATGATTTACACGAGAGAGCGAAGCGAGCCATCTTTAAAAATTAGAAAATATAAATTAGGTTATGCAACCAAATATACACCTTCTGTCGTGTCCTATTCTTTCATTTAATAAATATGTATGTTTATATTTTATATATAGAATTTAAACAGAAATAACAAAATTTTTTATATAAAAAAAAAATACAACTTCAACGCTTATTATGCTCAGGAAGTATAGTAACTTGCCACCTTCAAAATTTCTCGATGTTTCGTGACCTCTATAGAGTACAAAAACAGTGGTCTCTCGTTTCCGTCTGTCTGTTGTCTGTATCAATTTTTATTAGACACATAATTTTCAGAACTACTGTACCGAGTATTGTCAATTTTTGCATGTATATTAAGAATGGCAATCATGTAACTAGATTCCTAACCAAAATTTTGTTAATCAATCCCACTATCAATGGAATGACGTCATCTCCAAAATTTACAATAATATGTACATTGTGATAACCCAAACATACCGTCTTAAATTGACATGTGAAAAAAAAAATGAACACCCGCGAAAAATTCAAAAATTCAAATTTAGCCTTGGCTGTGATCGTCTAACAAAATGGAACCTGCGTTGTGTTTTTGAAAAATGGTGGAATGCGTTCAGGTGCAAATGGTGGACCCCAAGGTTGGAAAAGTACAAAATAAAACACCAAATTTATGGAGGACACAAATTATTTATTCCTCCACTGACAAAAAAAAAGCTGCATGCGAGGGTGACTCGTAACTTGCCCTCAGGCTGCCCAATGGGGACCGAATCACAGTCGCTTCTCAGCTCCAAAAAAAAAACTTATCGACAGCGTTACATCATCTCGACCGCCCCTGAATTCTATTTTAACCTGCATGTTTTGTGCAAGTGGTGCGATAAATCCCGCCAGCTCGACTAGGAGCCGCGCACTCCGCTTCTGACACGTTTTTCTGTGTTATTTAACCTCAATTCGATTTATATGTTCAACTCTTATACCTCTGATATTAAACTACAACTGAACAAGTGTCAAAATTTCAAAAAGAGCAATAAACAACATTTAAATTCGCCATACAATCTTGTGAACTTTTAAACAACAAATAATTCTTACTTGAGATTAAGATTGAACATCAGATAATTAATTTATATGACCGAAATATTCATCAAAAGAATATTTACATTAAAAAAATTGGTCTAAAGACTTTAGACAGTACTTCCCTCGCTGTCGGAAACTTGACGACTGCAATGACTGCATGCCTATTGTGTTTTTTTTCTCATTACATTTTTGTAGTGGGAATTTAAAAAAAATTGCGATGACGTCATCAACATTTTTGCAAGGACACGTATATCAGTTGGGATAGATGTAGTGTAATACTAAGAATAAAATTATTGTATTCCCAAATTTTCGGGAAAATGAATTGGGTCGTTTTGAATATTGATTTGTTATAATCAATAAAATAACGAAACAATTTACTCACGTATACGGCGCCGGCGTGTAATGTGAGAGGGAACTGAAAATCGTGTATGTATAAGCATTCTTAATTTAAGATGACAAGCGTAACAGCATACGTTAGAGTCAAACAGAGAATAAAATCAATTGACGCATTCATTAATTTTTTTCAGTCACCCTATATATCCAAATCGAAAAAATATGAATGGAATGATAAATCACAAGTACAGACTCATCATATTTTTCACATTTTAGATAGGATTTATTCGGCAAACTATTGAGCTGACGTCATCAAGTTTTTGGAGGGGATAACCAAATATATTTTGACTAAAGATTTATGATGCCCTTTAGAGCCTTAAAACATCTGAACATTTCAAAACATTCGGGTTAGCAGATTCAAAATTAAATTGCAAAATGTTGTTTTATAATTTTGATTTTTTTTCCAAAAATCTGGACGTTTCGGGTAAAAACACAATTCGAAGTCGTAAACTAGGTACATGTTTAGGACTATATTATTTTATACAATTTAAAACCCATTTACTATGTACAATTTTGAAGTGACGTCATCACATTAGTGGTGGGGATGATTAGACAAATTTTGGTTAGCGTTTTACCATCTAGATGATATTCCTAATATAACTACAAAATTTCACAACAATCGGTCCAGTACTTTCGGAGATTATCTGTCTAATAAAAATCCGGAACGGCAGACAGACGGACAGACGGACAGACGGATAGACGGACGGACAGACAGACGGAAATGGGAGACCTATTTCTTCGTCTTCTAGGGGTCATGAAAGATCGAGAAAACGTAAAAGTAGAGAGTCGGCCGACGGACTCGATTACAATACTTCCTTTGCTTACGCCCGGGAAGTAAAAAACTAACAAAAATTTCTAAAAACAACAGATCTGGTGTGAAATAAAACTTGTGCAGACAAAAATATTACGTGAGGTTAGAAACTGCAGAGCATGAAAGTTTACGTTCAATTTAAATTATACAACAAAGAAAATTACTGAAGTTAAAATTGTGAGATAGAGAAATATTGTTTGAGGTGAAAATTGCAAAGCTAACAAATTTACATGATATTAAAGCTTGTGCGCACTTTATCAACGATTCAAACAGAGTTTGCATTATGTTAAATTATGCCACATTTCATCAACGATTCAAACAAAGAGTTTAAGTTATGTTAACTGATGCCTTGATCCAGGTGATTGGTTACTTAAAACAATTAGCTTTGTAATAAACACAAAAATATGCAGTCAGCGTTGCGAGGAAATGCCTTAGTGATTTAATTTTTAACGTTGCGAGAAAATACCTCAAACAAAATCAAACGGATCCTGACCAAGTGAATTTCATGAAAACTCCTAGCAAATGTCTGTTACATTGTGTTAACACCAGTTAACGATTAAAATCCTAACATGAACTGTGAATTTACAAACAATGAATTAAATTTACACGTGTTGGCGTCACAAGAATTAGCTGCGCGTGTTGGGGAAAACCGTGGCGTCGCCGTCGTACGATTAATTGTCGTTAAACAAAAGCTTCCTCCCTTTTATTAACTACCAAGGCAACCAATTTAACTTAGCTAACTTAACTTACAGCGTCTTTTCACGATGCTCTCAGTCACGAAACGAAAACAACAATGACGCTCTCACCTCTCTACCAAGCGTCCATCTTCTACCAAATGGCCCTCTTCTAACCAACCCTCTAACTAAAATCTCAAGTAGACTACACACTACCCAAAAGCGCTAACGTGCACATGGTTGCCTATGTTTAACGATTTTTTTTAATTGATTTTTTTTTCTCAAATTCAAATTATTCAGATGTGATTTCGCGCCGCTGTTAATTAATTTCAGCGCAAAAATTTGATTCAAATTCGGTCATCCCAATATAATTTTTAATATATAAAATACGACACTGCTTCATTTATTATGTATGAATCCGTCTTGAATTTCACCCTAGATGTCTAGATTTTTGAAAAAAAAAACTTCTTTCATACCAGTTTATTTATAAAAAATTAAATTTGAATTTTTGACTTGGCGTGATTGATGCAGGATTAATTTGGGCAAGTATCTTTACTTAAACTGAATTACTTTAATGCATATTATACCTGTTTCGTCCCCACAAAGAAAAGATTAACCCAGTAGGGAGTTAAAATCTAAAACGAGTTTAGCACAGAATTTGTTAAGAAACCAGGTAAACATAATATACATAATCTCGTCATCATTTTAAGGGTGAGCTAAAGCATATTCCAGCATAGGGAAATACATATCAACTTCTACCCAAGTTTTTGCCAAAAGTATACGTCCGATTGTAATAAACTTCAGACAGTTGAAATGGGCGTAAAAAACCCTACCCAGACTGCTTTTCTGTTTTTTAAATTTTGTTGTCAAAAAAAACTACAACGCGTTAAAATTGAGATATATGACATTATCAGGTTTTCGCTACTTGTGGATCAATTTTAAATTTTCAAAGAGGTACATTAGTAGAAATTGTATCAAAAAATCCATTGCGCAAAATTTTTAAAATTTGTGGCCAAACAAACTTTAGCCATTTTTCTGGTTCACTCAATTCTATAACAGGTAACCGCTAGAACCCGTCCTTTTAAACCCCTCATAATCCGACAATAAAATTTTATGAGAGTTTAATCTGTAAGTCACAACTCAGTCAGAGGCAATTAAAGACAGACTTTTAAGTTTACAATATCTTGTAGCCCCCTTCTAAGCATTTAACAACATCCCCTTTCTTAAAGATTAAAACATTTGCATCCGCAGATAATTATCGGTGGACTAATATTTACGATAAGTTTACACGTAGCCACTAAGATATTTTGAAATCCAATCCAATCCCACCAATGCAAATTTTTGTTTAAAAGTTGTTGTAGTTGACATCGAACTTTTTTTATTCGTGACTAGAGTGGAATGAAATTAGGTTCAAAAGAATCGGCTCTTCAATTTTTGGTAAAATATGTAACATGCCCCACAACAACTACATCTAGCGCCACAGTGGATGTTTTTAAGACAAAACGTCATGCCTTAGCTGACGAAAATTTTGAATGTCAGTTATTATTGAATTTAAAAGAATATAGTGCTCCTGCGTGAAGTATTTATTTGTTTTATTTTATTTACAAATATGAATGTGTAACAAATGCGTCAGTAAAATAAATCAGTTATTGCCTTTTTCATTCTAACACGTTTTTTCTTGACCCTTTGGACCCACACAACAAATATCTAAAATTGTGTCTTACATCAAATTTTTCAAAGTGCAAAAAGTACTTGTTAAAGTAATGTATTACTTTTTAAAAGTAATTGTTCGATTCACTGCTCTTACTTTTCATTCTCATGTTCCAGAATATTCCGTTCAGACAATAACAATGTTAATGTGTTATTTATCGAACCGGAACCCTAAAGAAATTGTCTGAGTGCGACCCTGTCGCCGCACGGAACATGACAGCCACAAGTGACAGCCACGGCTGTGATGACAGCTGTCAAAGCAAACTAACCTCATTTTATGTTATCAATTATTGCTATTATCGAAAAATTCAATTTAACTACTGTCGATGAAATCATCTAAACAATGTACAATCCCGCGAATTTACAAATCGAGAGAATCTGTCGAGTATGTTTGAACGAAAACGAAGAAATGAAACACGTATTCGAGGAATGTTTATTCGAAAAATTAAAAGAATTAGCAACAATTCAGGTACAGTATCACTGGTATTAATAGTAGTCGTCATGTGTAGTAACAAAACCGACTTCCTTAGATCGAAGAAAACGACGGTTTGCCTAATTTATTATGTAATTACTGTGTTCACGAAGTAAACCGATGGTACTCCTTCAAACTCCAAGTAATTAAAAGCGACAAAACCCTGCGTTCGATACAGAAAGAGCACGAAAACTGTAGCAACAATCACACCAACAAAGACAATACTGAATCGTTACGACAAATCAAAAAGCAACACGAAGACATAAGTGAAAACTCAGACTGTGATCAAAACGACGATGACACATTGTACAAGTCTGACCCGCAACTTCCCCAAACTTTCCAGTGTGATATCTGCAAAAAAGAAGTGAAAACCATACACTCGTTACGCCGCCACATGAAAATCCACACTGGCGTAAAACCACACACTTGCAAAATCTGTGGTAAAAGCTTTGCAGAACCGGGGAATCTCACAAAACACGCACGCAGGCATACCAACGACAAAAAACACCAATGTAACGAGTGCGGCCTGCGTTTTTATGAACGCAACAAACTGACAATACATATCCGAACTCACACAGGGGAAAAACCGTACTCTTGTAAGGTGTGCTCGCGAGCGTTTGCGACTCCAGCGCAAGTCCAAATCCACATGAAGACACACACTGGAGACAAACCGTACAATTGCGACATTTGCAATAAGGCTTTCCCCTACAGTGGGTCGCTAGAAACTCATAAAAAAATACATAGGGGAGAGCGGGCATTTGTGTGTCGTGATTGTGGAAGGTCGTTTTCACAAAAGGTGAATTTGGACAGTCACGTGAGGACAAAACATACACACGAGTGTCCGTATATGTGTAATGATTGCGGGAAAGCGTATCCTACGAAAGATCAGTTGAAAAATCATTTGAGACACCATACAGGTGAAAAGCGGCCCTTGAAACACACCTGCAGTGTTTGTGAGAAGAGTTTTGGGACTCCTGCAGAGGTGCGGATCCATATGAGGATACACACGGATGAAAGGCCTTATCAGTGTGATTTGTGTGGGAAAAAGTTTAGAGCTTCTTCTCATATGACGTCACATAGACGGATTCACACTGGAGAAAAAAATCATTGCTGTATGTATTGCGGGAAGGCCTTCAGAGAGTCGTCGACCTTGAAGATACATATTCGGACTCATACAGGGGAGAGACCTTACAGTTGTAAACTTTGTGGGATGAGTTTTACTCAAAGCAATACACTTAATACCCATATGAAGATTCATGGGACGGCTACTAATGGATGAGGGATGGGTTAAATGGTCAAAGATGTATAGTCATGTGACACTACCCACCCAGTTGTGACGATTGGTGGACGTTTGATTTCCAGTGAGATTTTAGTTGGAGCAAAAATGAATTTTGGGTCAAGCTCGATGCATGCGATAGATGATTATAGATTTTTTTTCAGTGGAAGAGTGAATAATAAAAATTACGAAAGTTGTTTTTTATTAATTGCGAGCTGTCAAATAAAAATAAGTTTTTTTAGTTATAACTTGATAAACAAAATAGGGAAGCCTGAATAAGTCAGTTTCCTAACGCCTGGTTTAAATTGCGGTGACCGAATTTGAATTAAAATTTCGCGCTGAAAAAATTAATAGCGGCGCGAAATCGCATTTGAATAATTTGAATTTGAAAAAAAAATTCGTCAAACATAGGCAACCATGTGCACATTTAGTTCTTTTTTTGGTAGTTCGTAGTTCTGCTAGGGAATTTTAGTTAGAAGGTTGGTGGCAAGAAGTTGGCTTTGCTTGGTAGAGCATCGCGACCCTTCACTTTTGGTTTGTTGTTGTGAGTGAAAACCACGTGGTGAGTAATCCAGGTTAAGTTTAGTTGTAAATTCACAGTTCATGTTAGGATTTTAATCGTTAACTGGTTGTAACACAATTTAGCAGTCATAAGTTTGACCAGATAAAAGTACCTGCTAGGAGATTTCATGAAATTCACACTACACAGGCAACTAGCTATTTGTAGAGGACTCTGGTCTTTTTTGGATCTTTCGATCTTTTATAAGTAAAGACTCCTCCAAAGGAGTTGTTTTCGCAAAATTGTTTACAAGTTACTAGTTTATTTGGGGAGTCGTAAAAGTATTTGTGTTTCCACCAAATTAGGCTTAATTAACTCTAATATGAAGATTTTTAGTGGCTAAATGTGCTTTTTGTTAAAATTAACAAATTTAAACCATGAAATTATAAAACTGGACAAAGACATCGTGTCCAGCCAAACGGCGCCAATATTTAACTGTGAAATTATAAACCTTGATTAGAATGGTGTGAAATCATAAAATCCAAGTTTCACAAGGACAACCTTGATTTTTACGATAATGACGATTGTTCTGATTTATACCAACATCTCCAAAAATAAGTAAATTTATCGCCCGTTACACTCACAATTTTAACTTCCGTAATTTTTCTTTGTTGTATAATTTAGATTGAACGTAAATTTTCATGCTCTGCAGTTTCTAACCTCGCGTAATTTTTTTGTTTGCACAAGTTTTATTTCATGCCAATTTTTTTTTTGTTTTTATAATAAATCTTTGCTAGTTTTTTGTTTTGTAAATATTTTGTTGATTAATGCTTCCATCATAAAATTGTCTGCTATTCAATCTTAATCTCAGATAAGAATTCTTTGCCGCTTTAAATTTCACAAGAGTGTAGGCGAATTTAAATGTTGTTTATTGCTCTTTTTGAAACTTTAATACTTGTTCAGGTGTAGTTTAATGTCGGAGTTATAGAAGTTGAATATTTAAATGGAATTTAGGTTAAATAACACAGAAACACGTAGCGGAAGCGGAGTGCGCGGTTCCTTGTCGAGCTGGCGGCCGCGTCATTGCACAAAAGATGCAGGTCTTGTTTTTTTAATTTCCTTTATTTTTTCGATGTCGCTGTAGATTTTATAATTTTTCTATTATTCAATTTCTCAAATCGTCAATCATAATTTTTCAATTCCTCGATTTTCCAGTTTTAAAATTTTTCAATATTTCGTTTCTTTGATTTTTGAGTTTCTGAATTTTGAATCTTTCGATGTTTCAATTTTTTTGTTTCTTTATTTTTCCAGTTCTTGATTTTTTATTAGATATTTTAAAGTTTTCATTTTATATTTTTCATTTTTTGATTCGCGAAACAGAAAAAACGAGAAATTGCAAAATCGAGAAAGCATAAAAAATCATATAATAAAAAATAAAATTCTCGAAATCAAGTCTTATGATTTTTTGAAAAAGGTGTATTTATTTACCTTGGACCAATTTTTTATATCACAATGTTTCGTGTTTGGTTTTTTTTAATTTTTTCAATGTTTCATTTTTTCGACTTCCATTTTGAAAATGTTTGGTTTCTTCATTTCCTCGATTGCAATTTTTTATTTTTCGATTTTTCAGTTTTTCAAATTCGTGATTTTATTTTTCATTTTCGCGATTTTTTAATTTTCATTTTCTCGATTTTATACCACAAATTTTTGTTTTTTCATTTCCTTTGTTTTTTCAATGTTTCTTTAGATTTTATAATTTTTCTTTTATTCAATTTTTCAGATCTTCTAATTTTTCATTTCCGCAATTTTCCAGTTTTTCAATTTTTCAAAATTTCATTTTTTCCGTTTTGCATTTTTCATTTTTGATTTTTAAATTTTACAATTTTGCAAATTTTCATTTTTTTATTCGAAAAGTTGAAAAATCAAGAATTAAAAATCGAAAAACTAAAAATTGGAAAACACTGAAAAAACGAAAAATTGCAAAATCGAAGAAGTGGAAAATCGAGACCCTTAAGAAGCGAAAATATTTAATGAGTTGAAAAATTGGAGAACTCAAAAAAAAGAGTTTCGCCTCTGGTATGGTTAACATACTGAATTACCGTGCTCTTTTGCCTTATTGTTAACCCTGCTCCTGAAGATGCCACTTACGAAAATGTGCGAAACGTTGAGCCCAAAAACTCAATTTACACGGTTCCAACCCAGAAAACGATCATGTATTGATTCTGAAAGTGAAGTCTCCGAAATTAATTTTTATCGTGTTTTAAGTTTCTAAGAATTTTTATTAGTATTTTTTAGTTTTAGCTGAAGTACTGTTTTCTGTGTATCACTGCTTTATTTTGTTTTATTATTAATTTTTCTGTTTGTTTTTTTTTTTTAGAATTTGAGTCTTTATAATTTAGTAATTTCACTAGATATGTAGATTTTGCCTTTTTGTTTTAAAATGTGCAGACTTTTTTCACAACATAAAACTTAAAATATGTTTAAAATGGAAAATTTGTATAAGGAAATATAGATTTTGCAATTACCATTTTAATAATGTTTTAAGTTTCTTGTTGTGAAAAGATGGCTATGTCGTATATTAAGAAAAAAAACCGCAAAATGTAAGCCCCGCCCACCCACCCTATCTCAATTCTGATGATTTTTTTTATCCGTCGTAAGCCGAGGGGCGGAGCTTAATTGTTAAATCCTTATTTTTCTACGAGAAGTTGCCATGTGAAATATTTTCTTAAGTAATCGGGTTATACAAAGGAAAGTAAATGTATTAATTAAAAAAGGAAACCAAAAGAGACGCCCCACACATCCGTCTAGATCTCAACCGTGATGAATTTTTCATTCGTTGTCAAATCGAGGGGGGGGCTTAATTGCAAAATCCATATTTGTCTGGAAGAATAAACCATTCTAAACATGTTTTTTAGTTTCTAACAATAAAAAAAGTCATCACAATTGTGATGAGGTGGGTGGGCGGGGTTTATATTTTGTCCATTTTCTTAAAATGCATACTATTCTATGCACAACACGATACTCAAAAACATGTTTTTAATTTCTTCTAAAGAAATAAGTATTTTGCAGTTAAGCTTCGCCCTCTTGGTTAACTGCGAATAAAAAAAATCATTACAATTGAGATAGGGCGGGTGGGCGGTCTTAGATTTTGTTTTTTTGTTTCAATATATGTAGACTTCTTTTCACAATATAAAAATTAAAATATGTTTAAATTGGAAAATTTGTATAAGGAAATATCGATCTTGCAATCAGGCCCCGCCCCATAATTGCAAAATCCATATTTCCAAATGTACCATTTTAAACATGTTTTAAGTTTCTTGTCCTGACAAAACGACTACGTATACTAAGAAAAGAGGCAAAATATAAGCCCCGCCCACCCGCCTTATCTCAATTGTAATGATTTTTTTTTAATCGTCGACAGTCAAAGGAGCGGAATTTAATTGCTAAATCCTTATTATTTCTCTACAAGAAATTACCATGTAAGACATGTTTTTTAGTATCGTGTTATTTTCACCATTTTAAACGTATTGTAAGCTTCTAAGAATAAAAAAAGATCATCACAATTGAAATGGGGTGGGTGGGCGGGTTTAATACCTTGTGTATTTGCATCCAGTTATTTTAATTCAGATTTTTCTTTGTTTTTACTAAATTTGTGATATTCAAATATTTGGATTGATTCAGAACGTTTAATTTGGTTTCATTTAAAGTTTTGAAAATTTTTTTTTAGTTGAGTACTAAGAAGGTCTTCAACTTTTTGTTTGTATCCTCTATATATTTGGTGTTTTATTTAGCGGTACTTTTCCAACCTTGGGGTCCACCACTTGCATCTGAACACATTGCGCCACAAAAAAAGCACAACGTAGGTTCCATTTTGTCTGACGGTCACAGCCAAGGCCAAATTTTTGAATTTTTTTTAGGTTATCACAATATGAACAATTTCATGGCTATTAAATTGTGTTAGAACCAGGAACACTTGAAAATCTTAACATTAACAATGAATTTTCAAACAAAAACAAAGCCATTACCAACCCCTCACCAACTACCAACTTAAAGATTGACATTCACTCATTTCCTAGACGAGGTTGTAGAGCAGCTTTCAACAGGAAAAGGTACAGGGGCGGAGCTTAAGATGCGCCACTTGTAGTCGGGCTAGCAGTGGCGTAACATCGATGTATTGAGAAGGAAGTTTCGGCTGAGTTACATTTCTTTCAAAAACAATTAAAAATAGAGCAATTTCCACAAAAGAATACAGACAACCATTTAATAAAAATAAATTTATTTGTTTGGTAAAAAAATAGACTTACGTAACAATAAATTATGATAATCTATCACACAAAATTTGGTATTTTTAATTATTAAACGAGTTTATAATGTGAGGGATTATAGCATGAGTAAAAAATTTCACGAATCCCTCATTATAAACCAGTATCATATACTATTTTATAGTCGACTAGTCTTAAAGCAACAGTTAAATCTTTAGATAAAAGCGGGCTTAAAACTCTGAGAATAAGCAACCTATGACTATAATTATATGGTTTTTAATTTTCTGGCACAATTTATCGATACCGTAAAGTCGGATTATAATAAGGCTTAACGTTTTCTGTCTTTAACATTGAAGTAATAATCGCAGTTCGTATTCTAGCATTCGTTTATAACTAGAGCTTCGACTGTACCGTAATTTAACAGTAATTATTGCTCACTAAAAATTACCTTTTTACTTCTTTTACTTACTTTTTTATTCAACTCATACATCAAATACAGCACTAATAATTGTTTAAATTCTTTTTCTATAATGTCAACGCTAATAAAATAGAAAAGTGATATTTTTATTAACCGCAATAATATTTTAATATTTCAAAATCGAAATATTCATCGCCGCTGCCACTGCTTGCACGATATTTGTAAGGCCAAACCAAAACAATGTTCTGCGCACTCCCACCACCTGTACCCTTTTGTGTTGAAAGCTGCTCTACCACCCTAACTAAAGCTGCACAAAATTGCCTTTATCTAACTTATTTTCTTAATTTATTTTTCAAATTCAAATTGTTCAAATGCGATTTCGCGACGTTTTTTTTCCTCTCGGCGCGAAATTTGAATTCAAACTGGGATACCACAAATAAATTAAGAAAAATATCGCACTGTGAGAGCAATACTCACGTAACTCAAAACCAGCGTGTTTCGAGTAATGATGATTTAAAATTCCCAAGTTATTATATATTATTTGTATCTTAAATACCAATGGCTTCGAAATACATTATAGTCGTATTGTCAATCTATTATTAATCGTGTTTTTATTCCTTTAGAGTAGACCCTTCTACTCGTTATAGAAAACAAGAAATTTTGACTTACGTGACTATTGCACTGCTACACCATATCAAATATTTTGGCTTGCGTGTTAATAAATTTAAGACAAGAGCAAACTAGCAACACATTGTAATGAAAAAAATGTAACAAAACACAAAACAATCACAGTATTAATTAATTCAACATCTACACTGATCGGCAAAAAAAAACCGGCCACCCTGAAAAATTTCGCAAAACCACTTTAAAACTTAATTCAACTAGTGATCGTTATTTTATTAAAGGATCATTCACTATTGACACATGATGTACAAATTAGCACAAAAAAGAAGACAATTAAACGCAGAATTAAATTTAATTTAACAAAATAACAGAAACAGACCAAGTACGATATTTTCTTAAAAAAAAAAAAACAATAAAGGAGGCTGTTGTTGTAAATTGTGTTTTTCATCGTTTGATTATAAATTTGGCAATTAATAAACGTTTTCACGTGAAAATAATTCCGTTAACTCTTACAGACGTCTTTCGTCGCTCTGTTTCTGTTATTTTGTTAAATTAAATTTAATTCTGCGTTTAATTGGCGTCTTTTTTTGCTAATTTATACCTTATATGTCAATAGTGAATGGTTCTTTAATAAAATAACGAGCACTAGTTAAATTAATAATTTTTAAAGCTTCGTTTTGCGAAATTTCAGGGTGGCCGGTTTTTTTGCCGGTCAGTGTATTATGGCTAAATTGTTATAAAATGTGTTATAATTTTATTTATTTCGTTTTTTTATACATAATTGATTCAGTCCATCGAATTTTTTTACGTATTGCTAAAGGACCTTCATAAATATTGTTTAATCATTTTCATTTAAGTCTGATGCGCCATTGTCGTAATGTTCGGGAATTGATTGACTATTATTTCCTGATATATTTTATACTTCCTTTCTATACGAAGTTACAAAATTCCAACGGAGTTTTTCACAAATTTTAATTTTTTCATTTCGCTCTAATTAACTTTCCTACCTTTCCTATTCAAAGAAAAATTGATTTCCATGTTTTCGGTCAATTTTTAACTATATCAGAAGACATTGTCCATTTGTTGTGTTCAATTTGTACCTAAATTAGTAGGAGTATCAGATTATCAACATCGACTGAAATCTCATAGCTTCATAGCTTACGTGCATTTCACTTAGTTTTGAGATACGGCAGTCTTGCATTAAGCGCACACGTAATGTTCGGAAATGCAATACAAACATTTTGATGACTTTGAGCATTGCGTAACTATTAAAAACCATTTATACTTTTATATACTAAAACTACATTAACTTTTTTATGCATTAATGATAAATTTAAGAATTCGGCAAATTTTGACTTACGTGGGTATTGCTCTCACAGTGCGATATATACTTTTTGAATTTAAAATATGTTGTACACAGTATCTTTTTCGGGCAGGTGTAAAAACCGAGCAGAGCTAAATACAAGAGAGGAAGTAAAAAGTGTGTAATATACAGAGTCATCAAAATTGATTGAGAGAGTTGGTAAACCTGAACTTGAATAATTTGGTTTATTAAGTTGTATAAAAATATTAGCTGTCAGATTTGAAGTTTCAAGTTTCAAATTTCAAAACTCAGTGGCGTCTTTTTTCGACTTTTTTTTTGGTAAAAACATTAGTTGTCAAATTTGAAGTTTCTAATTTTTGTCACGCCACTGAATTCATTGCCATATAACCTTAAACAAATCTGTCATAAGGTTGACAAACTTCACGACAAAAACAGGGGGTACCAACTCTCTCAATCAATTTTGATGACCCTGTATTTTGAACGTATTTCCGGTTTTCTAGTGCGACCTAATCGTACACCTACCGAGTTTTTTATCTTTGAAATAGGGCTCTGTTCAGTTTTAAATTTAAAACGAAAAATCAATACACTGCTAAAATTCAAAAAGTATGCAACTAACATTACGTCTTCGCTAATAAACATAAACTCTTAATTAAAATTTAAAATTAAGGGTTTTTTCTGGTCCAGTGCAACTGGCCTCAATTGGAGTCAGTAAAACATAAATTCAAATCCAAATCTGAAGTTAACTTCAGTAAAACTTAAGTCCAAAGGTGGTCCAAATTAAAGAAAGAAAAATACATGATTCCATTTAATATCAAGTACTCGAGTTTGATGACGTCAGGCTGTTGATCCAATGACAGATATAGTCAATTCAATTAATAGAAAACAATAGCAAATACTTTTGTATTACATTATATAATTTAAAAAATTATAAGAAAAAAGGACACAACGGCACGCGGTGTTCCCAAAATTGTCCTTTATCCTTGAATCTCAACATTTAAAAAATACTTTTAACTCGGCAATAAAATGTAGACTCCTGAAATTTAAAGATCAGATTAAAATAAAACACGTCACTTATAAATACATAAAAAATTTCAAGGGATCTGACCATTTATTAGATTTTTTACATCGACACTTAAATAATTTAAACAAAAAAAATGTGAACTAATCCATTAGTTGCAAATTATCAAACTTATCAGTATCATAAAAGCTTGCTTTAACCTGCCTGCCCCCAAAAAACCGCCCATTTAAGTCCACAACTGCCTTAATAGCACTCTCTATTCTCCTAAACTCGACAAAAATGCGAACAGCCTCTTCTGGATTCTCCAGCTGAGTTTCATGAATTATAACACTAGTAACCTCCCCATATTTAGAATTACATTCATCTTTAACCTCTGGTTCTAAATCGTCGTCAACTTCACCTGGCCCCACCATATTTTTCAGTAATACAACCTTACTAGGATTTTTAATAATGTCAGTTATGCTTTGTTGACTGTTCACAGGACTCATATCCAATGGTGTCTGAATAGAAGCCAAAATTTCCTTCTCGTGAATAATCCTACCCCCCCGTTTCGACGTCTTTTCCACTTGCAACGCACTCGACATCCCCTGCTCCTGCTTGCCTAACCCTTGCCCCTCCTTAAACCCATACCTAGCCATAATTTTAGCAGCAACTGAAGACCCGAAATTTGAAGAGGGGGTTGCAGGCTTGGGTGGAAAAATCGGTGATGCCTCTGCAGGCTCTTGCAGACTTGGGGGAGGTGCAATAGCAACGCCCCCCGACGGTCGCGGTTTAGGCTGAACTGGCTCCATTTCTTCATCTTCATCAGCCCAGCGCCCTAAAAACACACAATAATAAAAACAACGGTAAAAGTCAACGACAATAGCACCTGCAAAACCGCTGGCCACAGGTGGTTGCGTTATTTGTGGCGTAGGGATCACCAGGGGCTCCTCGGGGTCGCTAAATCGCGATTTTCGTTTACGTTCCCTGCGTTTCTCTTCTTTGTCGTTTTCTCGCTCCCGGTTTTCGCGGAGTTCTTTCACGACTTTGTCGAACTCGTTTGGCCATAGGGGGTCATATTCGTCGTCTACGTTCCAGTCGTATTCGACTCCGTAAGTCACAGACGAACTGAGAGTGGGTAAGCTGGGCTCGTTTTTCACTTTTGTGAACGTTGGATATATGTCGTCATCGTCCCGCTTACTTTTCAGGTCTATGACAGGGGCTAAGCTCACTTTACGTTGTTGTTCACGTTTGGGTTGTGTCACGGTGGCTTTCTTGAGCTGGAGCTGGGACTGCAGCAGTTTTATGCCAGAGGACCACCCAGAAACATTTTCTGTGGTTCTGGCTTTGACGTCGAGGTCGTCATACAGAGACATTTCTCATTTAAATATAATAATTCAAGACACCTTTCATCAAAACTGCGGTAACTTGAAATGTCAACAAACAAAGTGAGGTTATGTTTTCAATCGCGCTATTTTGCAAAACAAAAAACAGTTAAATGTAGAATATCGTGACTAAAGTTATGTTTAATAATTATTCTTACCTACATTAAATCGGTTTTTTGTTTAATGTCTTTTAATAAAAAAAAAATAAAAAAAAACTGGTGAATTTAGGCACCCAATAAAACACGTGTGAAATTGTAGTGGCACGACTGCAACTGTGTTATGTCAATTTAAACATGTCGGTTTTTAGACATTTTTCAAGAAAACTGGTTTTAAATACTTTCAAATCAGACATAAAGCTACAAATTAATACCCATTGTTCAGTTTGTCTCCGTTTTTTAAGTTACCAGCCAATCCACTACGGTAAGTTTTCAAAAAAACACATGTTAAAAAAAGTGAGGTTATACTTTCTATTTGTAGATGGCAAACCCGACCCGGGCCCCGTTTTTATCAAAAAAGAAGTACAAACTCTCCTGAGAACCTTAACAAGGGTAGATCTTGCAAAAGTTTTCAAAAAACGACGGTTCGGTGAGACGCAGCTCCAGCAACCTGTGTACAAATTTATGACAGATGAGCAGCTTCAGGAAGCGTATGAAGAAGCGAAAAAAAAAGTAGATACGTTTCTTCAGATACCTCCAGTTGTCGCCGTACGAAAACCTAAAGATAAAGTTCTGTCAAAAGATCCAGCTTTACAAGGTTTGGACACTTCGGCGTTTGTTTTCACGGATATATCATATGGGGTGCGTGACTCCGAACGTATGATACTAGTGAGAGAGACTGACGGCACTTTGAGAGAAGCAGACTGGGAAACGCGGGACCGAATCAACCAGTTGTATTTTCCAGTTGCACAAAGACAAATTCAGACACCAAAAATGTTCCAGGATAGTAACTTAGAAGATTTGTTGAAAAGGGGCGAATATAACTTTATTTTGGACAGAGCTTGCTTACAGTTTGACCCGAATGACCCCCTATATCAGAAAATTGTGTCCATAACTTACCAATGTGTCAATGATAATAATCATTTTAATGAACTCAGATCTACCAGACATTTTGGTAGTTTTGTCTTTTTCTTAGCTTGGAACAAATTAATTGACAACTTATTACTGGACATTATTGAATCTGAGCACATTGAAGAAGCTAAAGCTTTGGTTGAGCTTTATAGCCACATCCATCAAGTTAAATATGAATCTAAAGAAAACCTCCAACAAATTGATGAATACATCAAAAACCACGCCAGCAAGAAAGCGGCTTTGGAGTTGGCGTTTCAGGCTTACAAAAATGCAGCTAAAAGGAAAGGAGAAGTAGAGGAGGGTATTAAGAGAGCACATGGTCTCAGCTGAACTAGGTAAACCATATAGTTAAGAATAAATTTGTACAAATATAAAAATGTGTTTATTCTATTAAGTCCAAAAACAATAATTACTTAATATTTTTTAAAACGCTATGATTAACTACTCCCGGTGTGGTTGTAAATTCTTTACTCTTGCCAGTCAGAGCAATAAATTGCTCAGCGACTTCCACAGCGACTCGTACTTGCGCTTCAGCTGTGCTGGCACCAAGATGAGGGGTTGCTACAACTTTGGGGTGTTGAATAAGTTCCAAAGTGACGGGGTTAGTTGGTGGCTCTTGTTCAAAAACGTCTAAAGCGGCTCCACCACACTGACCATCCTTGAGGGCTTGTAGTAGGTCAACTTCGTTTATAATACCGCCTCTAGCAACGTTTACGATGCGGATGCCCTTCTTGCACGATTTGAAAACCCGTTCACAAATTAAATCTACAAAAATAATAACAATAATAAAAAAAATAATCAAAATTTCGTTTAGTTTTACCTCGTGTTTCTGGAATCAGAGGCGTGTGAACGGTGATGTAGTCAGCCAGAGGCCAGATTTCCTCCAGAGTTAACGACTCTACATTGAATTTTTTGGATTCTTCCGCGGGGACGATTGGGTCATATCCAATTGTCTACAATGTAAATTATAATTAAATATAACAGCGATGTTACTTTTTGCGTTATTAAAAAGTCGTTATACCTTCATTCCCCACGCTTGCATTCGCAGGGCAACTTCGCGCCCGATTCTCCCCAGACCCAATATAGCCAAAACTTTGCCGCTTAGTTCGTGGCCGGCATATAATTTTCTGTCCCATCTTCCGGCTTTCAGGGAGGCCGCAGCCGGTGTCACATTTCGTGCCAAGTTCGTAATTAAGGCGCACGTTAATTCACACGCGCTAATGGCGTTGCCTCCTGGAGTGCTAAATTTTTTGTTACGTTTTGTAAATTAGAAAACTTCGCATACTTACTTGATGACGAGGATGTTTTTGGCGGTGGCGGCAGGGATGTCGATGTTGTCTACTCCGGCGCCGGCTCTTCCTATAACTTTGAGCTTTTGGCCGGCGGCGATTACATCAGCTGTTACTTTTGTGTCTGACCTTACTATAAGGCCATCGTAGTTCTAAAATTAGAATAAAAACGATTATGTTTCATCAATTGACTTTTATTAGAGTGGAACGATAAGGTTAATAATCGCGGAGATAATGATCGTCACATGAGAACTGTTTTTTCATCATGTTTTTATGTAATATAGAGAGATTAATAAGTATTTTTTTGTCGTTTTACACTGCTAGTAATAACATTATTAACTTGACTAATGATAATTTCCAAGGTCGTATCATTTCTCTTAAAATGGATCAACGTTAAGGCCTTTTTCACTTGCAGGACGTTAATTATACTTTCAGAATGTAATATCTCCGTTATTAAAAGACTTGTTGCTATGAAATTTTAAATATAAATTTTTCAGAACTTATTTTCCATAACGCAGCGGCAGTTTCTTTCAAAACAGTTTACCATGATTTTTTATTTTAAAAATTCAATATCCGAATTATTATTTTTACCACTGTTTTCAGCTTATAAAGCTACATACATCACGTGGAAAACATTGTCGTTTTCTTTTGCTGAAAATGAGCCTACAGCAGAATCAGCTTTTTCGACACAAGCTCTTTTTAGTGTATTTCATTTCCAACAAAAAAATCGACAGCGTTTCCCAGGTAACGTATAATAATCAACGCGCGGAATTGTGTTTCATACGCTCGATCCAGTGCTGTCGCGGCGATAGTTTGATTACAAATATATTTTTCTTTTGGACTATATCAACATAATATAACATTTCAAGATCACAAATCTGTGGTCATGTGTTTGAAAAATTAAAAAGGGCATCGAGTATTTTTATTTGAAGTAATATAGTAATATAGAAGTAGTTTTTTAACAAGCTGTAAACACTCCAAGCGACGCACTGGCTACGACCTTGTGGACCAGATCAAAGCGTCCCCGCTACTCGCCGTAAAACACACCTTGCTTCAACTGGGGAATTGCATCCGTAAGATATTTTTCCGCCCAGTGATAATAATAATAAAGATCGTTACTAAAACAAAAAGAGATAGACAGGGAAAAAAATATATGGGCGAAATCTAGCATAAGCTATTCTACTTAACCCACAAAACAAAAAAAAAACATTGAAATTGAGAATAACAAATATATATAGAGTTCTGTAAGCTGAAAACAGCGTTATGAAATTACCATAAATCATAGTCATATTTTTTTTAAAGATACGTGACGAAAAATTTCACCAAAATTCCAAAACATGATGATAAACTGTTAAAAAAAATGCTCTTGCGTAACACCGGGTGTCTGGAAAATGACGGATTAACTCTTCAATACGTTATGTACGGGTATTTCGGGAGTACTAAAGAAAATATGATGTCATTTGCGAAAATCGGTCTTATCTTAGCAGGTAGTAGCCCCGCCCACCCACCCTCTCTTTTCTTATAGGGTATGTCATTTGCCAAAATCACTTTTATATTGGCAGCTTCTAGCCCCGCCCACCCACCCTTTCTTTTTTTAGAGGGTATGCCATTGCCAAAATCATTTTTATCTTAGCAAGTACTGAACTAAACTTGCACAAAAAATGATCAAAATTTGGAAACATTACGAGCTTACTTATATGCAAAAGGCAGGAATTTTAAGGGTAGGTAGGCGGGGCCAGTTGCTGTCAAGATAAGACTGATTTTGGCAATTGACACATCCTCTAAGAAAAGAGAGAGTGGGTGGATGGGTGGGGCTAGTACCTGCTAGGATCAAACTGATTTTGGCAAATGACATGCCCTCTAACAAAAGAAAAGGTAGGTGGGGGGGGCTAGTTCCTGCTAAGATAAGAGTGATTTTGGCAGATGAGATACCTTCTAAGAAAAGAGAGGGCGGGTGGGCGGGGCTAGTACCTGCTAAGAGAAGAGTGATTTTGGCAGATGAAATACCTTCTAAGAAAAGAGCGGGCGGGTGGGCGGGGCTAGTACCTGCTAGGAGAAGAGTGATTTTAGTAAATGAGATACCCTCTAAGAAAAGAGAAGGCGGGTGGGTGGGGTTAGTACCTGCTAAGATAAGACTGATTTTAGCAAATGAGGTATCCTCTAAGAAATTTCCATAAATTATTATAAGGAGAGACACTAGAGCTTCTAAAGCACTTCCAAATTTTTTCGCAACAGGAGTACCTAGAACCTCAAGATTGTTTTAAATTTTTCAAAAAAAAAAAATGGGGTCTCAAAATGAACTCAAAAACAGGTCAGGTTAGAATTTTCCGAAAATAGAAGACCAAAGTTCCCCAAAATTGTTTCCAATAATTTACAAAAAAAATCTCCATGGGCTCCCAAAATAATACACCATGGGTACACAAGAGTTTACCGAATTAAACAAAAAATAAACACTGACAAACAAGACTTTTTCAAATTTATAAAAAATAAAACACTAAAAGCTCAAAAGATTTTTTCAAGTTCATCCAGCAACAAAACACCAGAACTTTTCGAAAAATTGAAGCGAAAATAACTTTTAGAAATCGAAATCTACAAAAAAATGCATTCAGATAATTTTCGAAGGTGATCGAAAAATAGACAAAAATTTCATATTGAAAAATGTTACTTTCGGAAAAGTTACCCAAAAATCCTCAAAAAAAATAGGTATCTAGATCGTGGAGTACTGATTCTAAAAATATAGTATTTATAGTTCCATAGCAACATTTTCGAAATTTTCAGTCTGAAAATCAATTTTTTTTAATCCTAAAAATTTTCATATTTCAAACTGATGATTTCGAAAAAACGGTAAGAATTTTCGAAGAAACAAAGTCGAAAATAACTTCTAGAATTCGAAATCTAAAAAAAATCCTTTTGGTAATTTTCTAAAGTGATCGAAGAATCCTCAAAAATTTCATACAATGTAATATACCTATTGAAAAATTGAGCTTTCGGAAAAATTACTTCCACAAAAAAATTAAGGGCTACAGATTTTGACATGCTGATTCGAAAAACATAGCGTGTTTATAATTGCAGAGCAATATTTTCGAAATACTCAGTTTGAAAGTCAATTTTTTTTTTTTTCTAAAATTTACCATCTTTCATATTACCGATTTCGGAGAAGTGGAAGGAATTTTCGAAGAAATGAAGCAAAAAGAAAACTTTTAGAGGTCAACATCTACAAAAAAAAATCCTTCCGGTAATTTTTGATGGTGATTGAAAAATAGACGAAACTTTCATATTGAAAAATTGTACTTTCGGAAAAGTTACCCAAAAATCCACGGAAAAATCAGGTGTATAGATCGTGGAGTACTGATTGTAAAAATATATTGTTTGTAGTCCCAGAGCAATATTTTCGAAATAATCAGTCTGATAATCAATTTTTTTTAATTCTAAATATTTACATATAATGTATTGCAATATTTCATTTTGACGATTTCGGGAAAATGGTAAGAATTTTCGAAACAATAAAGCCGAAAATAACTTCTAGAAGTCGAAATAGAAAAAAAAATTCTTTAGGTAAATTTCTAAGGTGATCGTAATATTGACGAAAATTTCTTAAAAATGAAAAATTGAAAAATGGAGCTTTCGGAAACCGAAAATAACTCCAGAGGTCGAAATCTACAAAAAACAAATCCTGCAGGCAATTTTCGACGGCATCAAACAATAGACGAAAATTGTCGAAGGTTATTTTTTTGACTTGAATTTTTATCTTTTATTGTTTCTTCAGTTTTTCGATTTGCCATTTTTTGAGTTTTCAATTTTTCGATTTGCAATTTTCTGTTTCGGTTAACTCAAAAACAGGTCAGGTTAGAATTTTCCGAAAATAGAAGATGATAATTTCCCAAAATTGTTTCAAATAATTTACAAAAAAAATCTTCATGGGCTCCCAAAATAATACACCATGGGTACACAAGAGTTTCCCGAATTAAACAAAAAACAAACACTGACAAACAAGACTTTTTCAAATTTATATAAAATAAAACACTAAAAGCTCAAAAGATTTTTTCAAGTTCATCCAGCAACAGAACACCAGATTTCCCTCAAATTTATCAGGAAATAAAACATCAGGGTATTTTGAGCTTTTAGTATTTTACTTTTTATGAATCTGAAAGTCTGCACTGTCGGAGTGTTTTTTTTTTTAATTCGGGAGATTTTTGTGTACCCATGGTGTATTATTTTGGAAGTCAGTGGAGATTTTTTTTGCAAATTATTGAAAAGAATTTTGTTTTTGGAAAATTTTAGCCTTCCCTGTTTTGGAGTTAATTTTGAGACCGTTTTTTTTAATTTAAAACAATTTTGAAAAGAATTTGAAAGTGCTTTGGAACCTCTAGGGCGGGTTTATAGAAAGCGAATTAATTATTTATTAATCCTCCATTAATTTAACAGAGGGTTAAAATGCAGAATTTGGGCTCGTGATTGGTTAAAACATGCTCGTTGCGTAGCAACGGACCTCAATTAAAAGAAAGTTAATCGCGTATTAACTAATTCGCTTTCTATAAACCGGGTCCTGGGGACCTAAAATTAACTGCCAACTTTTTAAACATAAGGTTTTGAAAATTTTGACAATTTTTGATACGTCAAATATTTTTAACTGCGTATCAGGCAAACATTGTCGCCAAATGGAATTTTATCAAATTATTACAAAAACAACAACCATATTTTTGTACATTCTAAATGAAATCGTAATTAAACGTAGTCCTGGGCGAGAAAAATATTAACTAAAAGGTTTATTTGTGATTGTGATAATAGATGTGTTGTTTTGTTGTTTGTTAAACGTAGCAAAGGAACCAATTTTAAAATTTTTATACCTCCACCAAAATGTGAGAAGGAATTTTTTGACTATTTTTCCCAGACTCACCAGTTGATTGTTACGACCGTTAAGATAGTTAATCCGCTATTTTCCAGACACTCAGTATAGCGAAAAATGCGGACAGGTTATATTTAAAATTTCATAACATAAGGTCTGTTAATAACAGAGATACTACGTCCTGAAAATATTTAAACCCTTGAGTCAAACTCGCTGTTGACGTTGAAGTTACCGTTGCAGTTGCTGTTCCCACTGACGTTGCTTTTAGAGCTGAAAATTGTCATTTGTAAACTCCGTTGCCAAGTGGCGGATTTAAGTTGATTACTACAAAAATTTACCATTTTAGACATGTTTTGTTTTGAGTTTCTTGTTGTCCAAATAAGTCTACACATATTAAGAAAAAAAAAGCAAAACGTAGCCCCGCCCACCCACCCTATCTCAATTGTGATGATATTTTTTATTCATCGTGAGCCAAGGGGGCGGGGCTTCACTGCAAAATCCTTATTTCTATACGAGAAATTAAAAACATGTTTTTGAGTATCGTGTTGTTCAAAGAATGCTATGTCTAGATCTAAATAGTAATGAAGTTTTCATTCGTTGGCAGACCTAGGGGAGGAGCCTAATTGCAAAGTCCATATTTGTTTACAAAAATTTACCATTTTAAACGTGCTTTAAGTTTCTAACAATAAAAAAAAATCATCATATTTGAGATGGGGTGGGTGGGCGGGGTTTATATTTTGTCATTTTTCTTTAATGATATAGTATTCTTTCAACAACACGATACTCAAAAACATGTTTTTAATTTCTTGAAAAGAAATAAGTATTTTGCAGTTAAGCTCCGTCCTCTTGGTTCACGGCGAATAATAAAATCATCACAATTGAGATAGGGAGGGTGGGCGGGCTTACATTTTGCTATTTTATTTTAATATGTGTAGGCTTCTCTTCACAACATGAAATAGAAACATGTTTAAAACGGAAAATATAAGGAAATATCGATTTTACCATTAGGCGCCGCCCCATAATTGCAAAATCCATATTTCCTTGAAAAATGTACCATTTTAAGTATGTTTTAAGTTTCTTGTTGTGAAAAGAATGCTATGTATATTGAGAAAAAAAAAGGCAAAATATAAGCCCCTCCCGCCCACCCTATTTCAATTCTGATGATTTTTTTTTATTCGTCGTAAGCCGAGGGGCGGAGCTTAATTGAAAAATCTCTATTTTGCTACGAGAAATTACCGCGTTAAATATCTTTTTAAGTAATCGTGTTATATAAAGAAAACTAAATGTATTAATTAAAAAAGAAAACCAAAAGAGAAGCCCCACCCATCCGTCTCGATTTCAATCGTAATGAATTTTTCATTCGTTGTCAGACCGAGGAGCGGAGCCTAATACCAAAATCGATACTTTCCTACAAAAATTTACCATTTCAAACATGTTTTACCTTTCTTGTTGTGAAAAGAATCTGTTTTTGAAACGAATAGGAATAAATCTTGTTGATTTACACGTCGAGAACTATCTTCAACAATGCATAAGTACTGACAGGAAGCTGTTTAAAATATGAGTGTTTCGGTGAACAGGTGATTAAATGGCTTAATATTAGTGCAATTTGATTGGTTGAAAACCCAATGTCAACGGCAACGTCAACGGATGACAAACGACGAATGCTTTCGCTGCGCATTTAGCGTACCATGGCAACGTCAGCGGTAAGTTTATAAATCGACCTTAAATGATATCGATGAAATATTGTAAGTCACGAGTGAGAAGTTATAAAGTATGGATTATATAATAATTAAGTAAAAACATAAAGTACCTTTAGATAAATTGTTAAGAGATTGGGTTAAGGCTGAATAGTGAACTTCCTGCCCCGTGTTTTTACAGGAACATTTTCCATTATTGTTAAATTGTACTATTAGAATTAGAAACAGTTAAAAATCCTAACACGAACTGTGAATTTGAAATTACAGATTACAAATTCGAAAATCTTTAAGCTGATATTACACTAATTACGCTCGTTCAAGGGGACCGTAGCGTCGAACGCGATTAATTTTTGTTAATTTTAATAATAATGAAAAAACTTTCAGAGTTTAAATAATATATTTGTAGTCACTGCTACACGTGTTTCGGTACACAGTACCGTCTTCAGGCAGAAGAGAAACTGGGGAGAGAAACACGTGTAGCAGTGACTACAAATATATTATTTAAACTCTGAAAGTTTTTTCATTATTATTAAAATTAATATGGAGTTTAAACACGTATCAGCCTCATCAATACAACAAAAAAAAAAAAAATTTTTTTGTTAAAAAAAAATCCACTTTTGTGGGACTTACGAACAAATTAGACGTATCATTAATTTTAACACGTGTTTTCACTCTGATTAAGATCATCAAAATGAAGGTAAATCGTTAAATAAAACTTATTCGTTTATCCCGTCCCAAAAAACTGATGACGTTTATTTTAGGGTTACATACATATCTTTATTTTAATTTATATGGGTTTTCATAAAAAATTAAATTCGCATAATCAAATTTTATAATTTTTGGAAAAAGCTGGATTTGTTTTATTGGACTTCAAGGGCGAGGGAAGTTAGTTCCAATTTTTTTCTCAGCGCGAAATTTAAATTTCAGAGTCAAGACACCACATTAATATATCTTCTTTAATTTTGCTTTCTCAATTCCAAAATTCCAATTTTATAGAACTTGTACCACATCAAAGTTGAATGATTGCAAATGAAAGACCGTTGTAGCTATTTTTCGCCTTGCAATTTTAGCCAAAGCAAATTAGTGTTTCGGGTTTTTTCCGATTTAAATAACACGGTGATTGAAACTATAAATGCGATCATGTGATAAGTAAAAGTATGCCCGCACAAATATGATAGTCGGAATTGTTTCTCATCTGGACTTTGACCACAAACTGTTGTTGGAATGTAACACTAAACCTCAGTGCTTTGAATTTTTTAAACGGATTGCTGATTATTTTGTCGCGAATTTCTTTATTGTTTACGTCATAACAGGCCTAACTCATTTATTTCGCACTTCTGACAAGCTCCATGTGGTCAGTGGAATTTTATTTTTCGTAATAGTAAGTACTGATAAGTGAATCTCATTCATGCGGAAACATGCGATTTTAAAAAATAAGACAATTCAAAATGTCAAGTGCCTATTTTTCATTATCTTAATTCTGAAGTATTTTGATCAAAATCATCAGTTTAGCAAAATATGTTTTTACTATTATAGCACTTATTTATTACGATCTGATAAAAGGTGCTGACCCTCTTGTGATACTTATCTTTGCGAAGATCAAATCTTACAAAGTTCTAGTGTTTTTAGTCATTCGATACTCAGAACTTGGAATTTTTTTACAAATGCGTTTTTAAACGTACGTTTGAAATCAGCGCTCTTAAAGTGGCTCGTTATTAAAAAACTGATATCACTTCAGAATTTCAAATAAGTATTTTTCATACATTTTTTATGGAATGTCCAAAATTTAATCAAAAAGTATCATTTTTACCGAGGATATAAAAAAGCACTACCTAGTAGATTTTATTGTACGTAGAACAACAAAACATTTTTACTTAAACCAGTGCAGGAATAATTCCGAAGAAAATTCCTCTGCATGCTATAGTCTAGACAGGCAAAAAATTACCCTCACCTTAATTTCTGCAATTAACTTGTCGGCTGGAAGCTTATACTTGCAGTCCACTTGAATGGAATGCTGTTCCAGAAGTTTAACACAGGCCGAATCTACGGCATCAGCTACTAAAACTCTTTGAATTTCCATGCCGAATACTGTTGGACACTGGTTCTGTATAGTATAATACCCAAAATCGGTCACTAGCAAATAATGAACTGAAGACCGAGGAAGGCTCACCACGGATTTATTGGTAACCTTCACTCCTGCCCCACTCTTGTTTGCTTCAAACTCATTGAATTCAAATAAGACAATAACTAGTTTATCGGTACATTATTCGGGTGATAAGAAAATTTTCCGTAGGAGTTGCATCGCAACGGTACCTGAATGAAAAAGTATCATTTTTGCCGAAATAAACCAACTGAATTGGAGTCCCGGTTTTGGTTATTTTCCTGTTTGTAACAATCGGAGATAATGAACTTTAGTCGTGTGCAGTTTTCTTGCCTCACGGTCTCGTGATTTAGTTCTTTCGTAATAATTTTTATCAATCGCACATACGCTCAAGTTAAGCAACTTTAGTAGTATGTGTAACAAACAATCAAGTAATCGGAATAATTGTTTTAAGAATTTTAGCTCATTTGTAGCCACCTGCAAGCACGCAGATTTTTGATTTTGGGTATACACACTTATTGTAACACGGAACTAATTTATTTTAATTACTCTTCATTTAAATTAGAAATATTTCCATCAGATTTGTGATAGAGTAAATTGGTCTTGTGTGTGCAATTAAGCAGAAGCTATTATGGTTTGATAGTGATAGTAAAGGAAGTAATTTAGGTAAAATTCATTGCTGAAGCATTTAATGAGTATTTTCTTATCAAAAAATCTGCAAGATTATAGGATATAGGTAGTTTGGTTGTTTGTACGAAGTAGAAAGTGTGTTAACGACTGCCTTATGTCGCTGTTTCATGAGTTTTCTTTTCTTTTCTCGATGTTTCTTTTATGCTTTCTATAGTTTTGTAAACTGAAAACAGTGGTGAAAACTATTTTTCGAAATTTTCATAAATAACTGACATTGATTGATCAATATTTAAAAAGAAAGAACTGCATATTCTTTTAAAAACTGTTCTCGCGTTATGTAGGTAGTGAAAGTTGAGGATAAGTTGTATAATATAGTCATTAAATAAGTGTTTAAAGGATATTAGAGACCAAACTGATGAGAATAACAGGATTTTTTAACTTCATGTTTATGACGACTTGAAAATACATACTTGAGTTTCAAAGTTTATTATCTCATTAATTGTACAAATAGATATTGATTTTATAAAAGTGAAAATAAGTTTAAAAAATAATAGGGTGATTTTAATCAGAAATAAGTCTGTAAATGAATTTACAAAGCTTCCCTACGAGTACTGTACACAATAACCCATATTTTTCCAGAAAAATGTATTCAAAATTTTTTCGTTATTTTTTTTAAGCTTATAATTAGTATGTCATATCTAAAAAAAAGTCATCAAGTTGGCGTAATCGTTTAAATTTTAGGTGTATATTGTGGACAATTATATTTCACAATGTTTTATCGAGACAATTTATAGCATCTGCAATACGAAAAAGTAGATCTGCCGTTTCTGTCTTGTCTGCTGTTATCATTCGTATTGGACAGATATGCATCGTAAAGATGGGAAATCGATAATTAAAATTTATGTTTATCTCGTTTAAATACTTAATGACGCATCTCAAAATTTTAATAGATAAATTTTATCTAAAATGTGTACTTATCTAGCCTTGTACTTGGTATAATAGTGTATCCACATTTTTAAAAAATGCTTATACATGTTATTTCAAAAAATTAATGAATGAAGCAGTTTATTTTAGTAACTAAGTTAAAAACTTGTAGGAGTTATCATAAAAAAATTGTCGAAGCTTATTTCGACAGAACTTCACTCCTGAAGTATACCTTATAAAATTCAGCGTTTTCGAAAAATTATTAAGATTTGATTTTGTGGGGTATTTGTTAAGATAGACTGATTTTGCCAAATTCCTTCTAAGATTTGTTAGACTACACTTCAAGGGCGCGGGAAGTTCGGTCAAAATAACCTTCGACTAATTTTTACGCATAAATTTAGACTGATGAATATTCTTCATAAAAAAATCTAAATGTGTATAAATGTGCCTTTCAGTGCTTATTTCATTTATTTTCCGATCGATTTTTTCAAATTTTGTATTTACGTTTATTGAAGGATGCAGTACAGATTTTACAGATCATGAAAATTCCAAAGATTTAAAGATTCTTATGAGATCGTAGAGATTGTAAACCTATCTACGGTGGCACAAATTCTTTAGAATTTAAAGATCCTAAAAATCGTATAAATATTCGATATTTTAAAGAGTCTACGAATCCTAAAATCTCCAAACTTTCAGATACTTGATACCGTTAGTTCGTAAATAATTTAAGTACATATTTCAACGATTCTAAATAGAAACTGTTAATTCCAGTAATTTCGGAGTTTTCAGTGATCCTCGCGTTTTAAAAGTTCTATATTTTCTCTACATGTCAGAAAGCGGAAAGTTTTTTGAGATTCCTTAAATTCTCGAGACAACCGATGTCCAGATTCGGCTGGAATTTTAGAAATTCAAAAATTCTAAAAATATTTTAGATATTTGAAATCTGGAAATCCTAGAGATCTTAGTTATACCAAAGATTTTATAGATCTTAGAGATTTCAGAGGATCTAAAAATTTTGGAGGCATTATAGACATATTTGTGATTATACAAACCCTTAAGCTTTTGGAAATCCTAAAAATTCTATAAATTCTCGAGATTCTAAAGTGCATAGAAATGCTAGATTTTAAAGTTTCCACAGATACTAGATCCTAGAAGCTATACATATTCCAAGATTTCTAGGTGGAAAGTTCAAATATTTCAGAGATTCAAAGATTTCAGAGACTCTTATATCATGGAAGAAGAGACTCTAAGACATATTTGCGGTACGAAAGCGAAAAGCTTTTTGAGATTCCTGAAATTTTCGAGACAACTGAAGTCCACAGATCACTGAGAACTTTGAGACTCTATATTCTAGAGATTCTAAGAATTCTAGATATTCCAACGATTGGACGGAAATTTTGGAAATTCAAAAATTTTAGAAATATTTTAGATACTTGAAACGTAGGAATTCTAGAAATCTTAGTTATATTACAGAGTTTATAGATCGTGAAGATTCCGAAAATTTCAGAGGATTTAAAAATTCTAGAGAAACAGTGATTTCAGAGATTCTTACTTTCTATAAATTGCAGAAGACGTCATAGATATATTTGTGGTCATCCAGATCTTGAAAATTTTAGAGATTCTAAAAGGTCTATAAATTCTGGCGATTCTAAAGTATCTAGAAATGTTACATCTTAAAGATTCCAGAGATATTAAATCCTAGAATCTAAGAATTCTAGATAAAGAATTAAAAAATTCCAGAGATTCAGAAATTTCAAAGACTCGATATATTTATTACAGATCTTAAAAATCCTGCAAACTTGCTATATTTTAGAGAATCTATGATTCTTAAACCACATGGTGCTAGTGTATGGAGAAGCCCAGGGAAATGCAGTGCAAGCATAAAAAATTTTGATATTCATGAAATTTTGCGGGAACGAGTGATACATGCTGCTGAAACAATTCGAAACAATGAAATTATGTTACAAAGAGTCAAAGACTCATTTCGTCGTCGTCTTCAGTGTTGTCTAGACAATAATGGTGGCCACTTTGAACATTTATTATTAAGTTTTTGGCGATTTCAAAGTAGGCCTCTATTACCTATTACAGCCTTGCATTCAAATGTTTACATTTTTTGTTCCGTGTTGTGTTCATTTCTTATCCCCCTCCGCAAGAAACTGCTTTGTTAGCCATGGCCGGGTAGGTGAATTTGTATTAAATCTTTGACTAATTTTAACTCAATCACGAGAGGGTTTACCACAAAATGTTATTTACAAATTTAATTGCTTTGTATTAGTTCTATTACCAGTTAAAATTAATGTACTTTTTTCTGTAACACGCTGTATAGAGTTTTCTTTCAACAACAAGATAGTTAAACATGTGTCAGTTTCTTGTTGGGAAAAGAAGACTTCGTATATTAAGAAAAAATGGACAAAATATAAACCCCGCCCACCCACCCGGTCTCAATTGTAATGAATATTTTATTAATCGTGAGCTGAAGGGCGGAGTTTAGTTGTAAAATCCTAATTTTTCTACAAGAAATTACCAGATGAAGTATGTTTTTAAAAGGGTAGAATTTCTCAGAGAAATATTGATGTTACGATTAAACTCCACTCTTCGGTCTGATTAGGTATGGAAAAACTCATCACAACTGAGATCGGGGCGGGTGGGTGGGGCTTAATTTTTGTGTTTTTTTTAATATATAGAGTTTTCTTTCAACCACAGGATAGTTAAACATGTGTCAGTTTCTTGTTGGGAAAAGAAGACTTCGTATATTAAGAAAAAATGGAAAAAATATAAGCCCCGCCCACCCACCCTGTCTCAGTTGTGATGAATATTTTATTCATCGTGAGCTGAAGGGCGGAGTTTATTTGCAAAATCCTCATTTTTCTAAAAGAAATTACCACATGAAATATGTTTTTAAAAGGGTAGAATTTTTTAGAGAAATATTGATGTTACGATTAAACTCCGCTCTTCGGTCTGATTAGGAATGAAAAACTCATCACAATTGAGATCTGGGCGGATGGGTGGCGCTTAATTTTTTTTTTTTTTTAATATAGTGGAGCGAAGAGCTAACCCGCCATTTTTCAGACACCCGGTACATATAATATCTTACTTTTGGAACTTATAGAATAATGATGCAAGAAACATAGTCCAAAAAATCATAATCGCTTCGTAGGCTATTGTTTATATTATTTATTCTAGAAGCTTAAATTCTGTACATAAATAAAAATTGCCATTTGGCTTAATTTTTAAGTTTTAGAATATGCTTCACGAGTAGCAGCACTGTAGGTAGGGTTGCATATTCTGTGTTTGAAATTTTTGATTTTATAAAAAAAGTACCGGCTGACTATTAATGATTGAAGCAAATTTTTGTGTTGGCAATTCTTAATTATTGGCATCCTTGTTAGTACGTCAATTCACAACTGTTAATTTTGACACGAGTCATTTCTGACTTTAACAGACATAAAATTTTAAATAGGTTGCCAACTAGACAAAACAATCGCAAACATCACAGTATGTGACTAGTGACCGCCTGAGTTTGTTACATTTTTTAGAAAGAATGTTCTTATCATTAAATTAATTACTAAATGGTAATAATAATAAACATGTAAAAATTAAAAATGAATTTACTTTTATCGCACGTTTCAGGTTTAAGACGTGCTGAAATAAAAAAAATCAGTTTTCAGATACATATAATATTATAAGACCTTCTGTATAAATACACCTCCTTAACGTACAAATAGAAATCCTAATAAATTTAACTATTTTCAAACTACTTTTTATTCAGCCAAATTTGTTAAGAAAATTCATTTAGGTGAAAAAACCTAGACAAACCCTATAATTCCTTTAATCAAATAAGGGTTTATATATATTTCAAAATAATTATACATCCTGGCAGTTTCTATCCATCGAAAATAACCAGGCAAATAACTGAAATCAAATCAAATTAAATTTATATTTATCATTTTATTTAAACTTCAAACAAAATAATTTACATAACATTAAACTACACTTGCTTCTCGTCTAGTCCCAAAGAAACACCTTTCCCGGAGTACGAGTATTCACAGGTTTCGGAGCTGGGGCTTCTTCACCACTCTCAATCAACTTTGGTTCCCCAGCCACAACTTCGGGAGGGGCCACTTCACGTCTTGCATCTCTGCTACAATAATAGTTGGCACTCAGACTATGCGAAGGGCCGTCGGGGAGATCAGGCAGAGGTGGAGATCTTGTAGCCAGATCATCCTGAAACCTCACTGCTAAATGATGGGGGCGTCCGAACAGAAAATTCCGAATGCTCTGCAGAAACGGCGAAATATCGCGGATATTTTTACTCATCCTTGATCAATTCTTCATGAAGCAAATAAAACAAACTGGTATTTAAACAAAAGTGAGGTTATGATGGTTTGACACTTCGAATTTGTTGCATAATGGAGTTTGCGCAATGAAGTGGGTCTTATTGGAATTTGACCATCATGGACCCAATTGAAACAAAAACACGTTTTTTTTTACAAATATATTGAATTATACACAATGTAACCTACCTAACAGACTACCAAAACAACCACACTTTCAGCAATAACATGACCAACGTTGCTGATGTTGGGCCCGTAATAGCAAGTTATCACAGATCATAAAGTAGCAAAATCGAGCCTACTGATAACTTGGCTATTACGGGACGGGTTCTCACAGAGAATGTAACGGAATTATAAAAATACAAAAGTCTTTTTAAATGGACAACTTTGCCAAAATATCAGATTCTCTGAAGAGGTGGTACTCCTGATTTTCTTCGAGTTCAACTTTGGTGCCACCGTACTCTGGAAGAAGTACATCATCCCCGACCTTCACAGTCAATGGGACGTGTTCACCGTTCTGTAAAAGTCGCTTTACATGATTTGACTTAAACCAAGTACAATTATGGCTTACGGTATTTCGAGATCCGGGTCCCACTGCCACCACAGTGCCTTTCAATACCTTTGCTTGAGCTTTCTCAGGGATGACAATTCCTCCCTTAGTTTTGGTTACAACTTCCGCCTTTTTGATGAGGACACGGTCGAACAGGGGGATGAGACGTTTGGCGGCACCAGACTGAAATTTTTACGTCAAAAGGTGTTTTAATTTCGTTTGAAAGCGCGAACTTACCATTTTTGTGCTTTAGTCGGTTTTACAATAAGTGGATATAAATATATTGGGGTGGAACTTTCGAGAAGTTGCCGGCAAACACGAGTTCGAGCTGTAACCGATGTGGAGGTTATCAAAATCGCACGAGGTCTTTGGACAGAATTATTGAACGTATTTGTTTCGTCTATCTTTTTTTGTACAATGGGGAGTCCATATGGCTGTCTTTTTTTAGCATTAATGAAATGTCGGGAATCGTTCTAGAATAATTGTCGGTAATGCAGGGATTATTAGTGAAATAGGTGTAAATTATCTATTGTTCGTGAGAGGGCGCATCATCGTTAAGACGGTCGGATTTTTAAAAATCCCAGACAATGATAAAGGGCTGCTAATTTTCTAATTTGTATATATATACCGAGTGACTATTAATGTTTGTGATTTTTTTTGTGAGATTGGTAACATATTTAAAATTTTATGATGGCATCCTTATGTCAAAGTCAAATTTTGGGCATCAATTGAGTGGCTTATCATTTGTTTTTAGGCTATTTCTATCAAAATCGCCTTGACTGTTTTTTTTTTTTTGCTTAAGCCCTTTTTAGAATACCTTTGCCAGCCCTTAATTCTAATCGTTACAATTAGAAACACGAAGTACTTCGAGGACAAAACGTGTGGAAATTCAGATTTTCTAGACGGGTTTCTATGTCTATTTTTTTTAATGTATTCTTTTTTCTCTTAATTTCCATCCTTAACTCCAAATTCAGTTCTTGTTTTCTTCATTTGCACCTAGAACTTTCTAATGACTTGATAAATTCCAATAACGTTCTTTATTTTAAAAAGTGTAAATTATTATTTTTTTCTTAGCTTCTAATTCATGAGTTGAGAAGTTGTTGAGGCAAAGCACAGGATGTTCAAAAATCTGAATATTGAAAAAATGATATACATTGTCGTTTTTAATAGACATTTTTTGACAAAAAATGGAATTTTAGAAACACTAAATAAGTCAAAAAACGTCTAATGTATAAATCAATATTGATTTTTTTTTAATTTTTGATTTTTCAAATTGTCGTTTTTCAATTTTTCGTTTTGCAGTTTTTCGTATTTTCAACTTTTGGCTTTTTCAGTTTTTCGGTTTTTAAACTTTTGAATTTTTCAGTGTTACGATTTTGTTGTTTTTTTTTTAATTTTAGTATATAGAGTTTTTAACTTTATGATTTTTAATTTAATTAACAAAGCACATCGGTGTCGTTCGAATGTTGTTGTTTTCGCCACGTTTATTTACATCGTATTGACTGACGATTTCCAGTTTTTCAATTTTTAGTTTGTCAAAATTTTGATTAATCAATTTTTGATTTTTTCAATTTTTAAATTTACAATTTTTCGATTTTACAGTTAGCTTTTTGTCAATTTTTAGATTGTTTATCAGTTTTAGGATTTTCCAGTTTCTTGATTTTTAATATTTCGATTTTCAGATTTTCCATGTGTGAATTTTGTTTTTTCACTTTTTCGACTTTACAGTTTTCCGATTTTAGGTTTTCTCGTTTTCAATCTTTAATTTTTTATTTGAAATTTTTCAGTATTTCAATTTTGCACTTTCTCAATTTTTCAATTTGTAATTTTTCCTTATTTCAATTAATCGAGATTTCAATTTTTAATTTAGCTTTAAAATTTTTCAGCTTCTCAATTTTTTAATGTTTTACTTTCCCAGATTCTTATTTTTAATTTAAATATGTAAATCACAAGGAACAAATTTATTAAAACTGAAATTTTGACGATTTCATAGTTTTTGGATTTTTCAATTTTTGTATTTAACTAATTAATTTTTAAATGGTTTTACTGCGTTTCTTTACTTGGTGTTGGCTGAGCATTTTTTTTACAAACCCATTTTTGAGTTTTTAAAAATTCTTTAGTTTTCCGATTTTGCAATTTCTGGATTTTCCGATTTTGAAAATTTTTTTCATGTTCCTGTTGTATTTTCGATGTTTCTTCGAAAAATGGAGACATCCAAAATAAAAAATCAAAAAATTATAAATCTAACAACTGAAGTGACAAAAAATAAAATATCGAAAAATTGAGAAATCTAAAAATTTAAAAATTTAAAATGGAAACTCAAAAAATTGAGGAAACGAAAATTAAAAATCAAAAAACTGAAAATTGGAATAATTGAAAAAGCAAAATTTTAAATTTAAAATTTCAAAAAAAAATTCAACATGAGGAATTGAAGAACCGAAAAATTCAAAAATATTTAGAAAAATTGTGGAATTTAGAAATTGCAGATCTCAAAGGTGAAGTAACGAAAAATTAAAAACATCCAAAAATTAATCTGGAAACTCAAAAAATTGCAAATCAAAATATTGGAGAAAGGAAAAATTAAAAATCGCGGAACGGAAAATTCCAAACAAAAGTAAAAATCCAAAAGTTGAAAACTCAAAAGTTGCTAATGGAAAAATGGATTTTTTGAAAAATTCGAAGAGTTGCATTACAGGCAGCCCACATATTAAACGACATCAGTTTTGCGTACACTACAGAGGCAAGATTCAAGTCCGTCTCTGATGTTACAATCACAAAATAAGCTCTAAATTCATCTCTCCCTTCTAGAGAACAGAATTCTTGTGAAATTCTTTGAAACCCACTTTCTAACTGTTCTTGTTTCCACATAGAATATTATTTTTTCTCCTCCATACGTTCTAATACATTTCGTTAGATCCCACTTCTGACACCACATAGAGTAACAGGTTTGTGGAGTCTCCCAATAGTGGACGCTTCAACACAAACTATGACGTCATAATTACAGATTACTAGTGTTTTTACGGTCAATCAATTTTTGTTTTCTTTAGAATCCGATAGTACAAAAGTTGGGTAAAAATTAAGCCCCAAGATGCAATATTTTTATTGAAATATTCTTTTATTGTATTTTATCAAAAAAAAAAAAAAAATGGTTGGTAAGCAGAGAAAGATGAGCTCCTCCGTAGTCTGGTGGTAAAGGCACCCGCCCAGCAAGCGGTAACCGTGTGGTTCGATTCCCACCGGAGAAGCAATTTTTCTTCGCTTACCTGCATAATGTTAAATAAATGTAAAGAAGCATGTTATGCGTGTGTTTCAAATGAGTTTTTCCTTTACAAAATTTTGTGACAACTAACTCATCAACATTTTTTCAACGACACCTATATCAATTTGGATAGGTGGAGTGCAATAATACTAATAACAGCATTGTATTCCCAAATTTTCGAGAAAATGGAGTGAACCATTCCTTACTTTTTTTGAGACACTTTGTATAAACACTTCTAGAAAATATTGTGCACATTTTAGAGAGGATTTATTTGGCAAAATTTTGAGATATGTCATCAGTTTGTTGCGGGGATAAACATATATTTTGACTAAAATTTACCATGCCTGCGACAACTTTAAAACGTCTGCAAGATTTGGCAGATTCAAAATTAAGTTGCAAAATGTTGTTATACAATTTTGATTTTTTTTTCGAAAATCTGGATATCCTGGTAAAACTCGGCATAGATTCTTAACTACATATATAGATCTTATTTTATACTAATTAAAACCCATTCACTATGTACAATTTTGAGTTGACGTCATTACATTGTTGGTGATAAAGTTTCGTTAGTGTTTTACTATCTACATTATGAATATCAATATCAAAAATCGGTCCGGAAGTTTTGGAGATTATCCCTCTGACAAAAATCGGTACAAATGACATACATACAGACAGACAGACAGACAGACTGACTGACAAACAGACAAACAGAAACGGGAGACCTGTTTTTTCGTACTTCCATTGAGAAAATATGCAAGTAACAATGGACTCGACTACTCTCTTAGCTTAGTAAAAATACGTTCGGGAAGTAAAAATGTCTTATGTTGTTATTATTATTAGGCAGAAGTTACCTCGTCCTTCAAGTACAATCAAACAAATCCAGCCTGGGGTAAAAAATCATGACGGATTCATAAACCACAAGTATAACTATAATGTTTATTCTATTTATTTGTAAAAAAGTAATAATTAACAGGAACAAGGAACGTGTTGACACTGAATTTCAAAAGTTGCCAGAGGACTTTTTCTCGATAAATATTATATATCTGAAGTAATTTAATTTTTTGGGATCATGGTAACAAATTGTTAGGGGTTTGAACAATTATTCAGCCGTTTTTTTTTAGACATCCTATACATATTAATTAAGACAAGCGGCATCGAAGCCAGGTGTTAAAAATATATGGGAAAAATAAAAGATTCTGCCATGCTAATTAGCAACTTACCTGGACTTTCCAAGCATAATAAGTACACTGACCACTGTTTTTGCAGGATATCCGCAACACTCTTGCTTGACGCTGGTGTTATGAATTTAAAACTGACAGAGAATGGCACTCTAATTTTGTAAAAAGACTGATATCGAAACTAGTTAAAATTAAATACTGAAAAATATACTTCTATTTGGAATTATTTATAGGAGAAGTAGACAGAAAATTTGACGATTCATCTACTTGAGTGACACGAATTCAGCGGATCTTTTGAATATAAATAACGTTTTTAAATCCGTCATTAATATTAATATTCTGTGACGTTCGTATTACTTATTTAATTAATAGAATAATAATTATGTTATCGCACTACTACTTACCGCACTGTCGTAGAAAAAATCTTACCCTTATCGATTTTTGTAGAATACAGTATGCGATATTCCTTTATTTACCGTTGCTTTTACACCATCAATAAAACATATCTAAAATATAAATGGGTAACACTCACGCTGATAACGCCCGATATGCACCCACTTAATAATTCAAGATCAGCCATTAAACGCCGCGTCAATAACCACACTATTTCATCATTCTCTTTTTTAATTTCGACTCCCATTTTAATCGCGCCGTTTTAATGAAACGCTCCTAAGCAAAACATATTAACACTTCCCGCCACAATTTATAATTTTAAGTTATTGCAGAAGATGACGGTCCATTATTTATTTTAATTGCACGCGACCACCAACACCCCCGGAATCTTTTAAGGTCGATTTTAATTAAACCGCCTCAATGTAGGCCGCGGCGGCCGCAAATAAAACAAAATAATAAACGCATATCCTTAACGAGTCGACGTTTTTAAAAATATCTAAATAATCTCGGATGTGGAACGCCCCAGCGAAATTTTTGCTTGATTTGGCACAGTGCCGG